ACTATCCCTCCAAGGAAAAAGAACAGTGCTGGAGACGGCGTCTTAGAAGTGGAGTTCATCTCCATAGAGGTTCCTGGAGACGCCACTGCAACTACAAAAAATTGGAAAACTGGTTTAGTAGTTTGTGTTTGGATATATATAGTTCCACGTAGGAAAGTTAAGAAACCTTGCAAGGGCTTATAAGGAGTTGTATCTCCCTCATCATTACCAATAGGTTTTCGGGTTGGAACCTCAACATGGTTTTTACAATATTACTTAACAATCAAGCCACAATCAGATATAAGGATGAAGAACATTGTTTTTGCAGTGAAGATTCTTTACCTTGTACTCCTCGGCCAGTCATTGTTTAGTTTATAGATTGAAGTGAACAATTAATGGGTGTAGGCTGCAGCAGGTAGTCAGAGACAACAATGGAAATGTGGTCTTGGTTTTGCTGCTATTGCTAGCAGCTTAAACAACAACAACAAGAACAGCAACAGCAGCTAGAACCATCCATTGTTCTCTTTCTCCTTCTTCTCTTTCTTGTTTGTTTGGTTTTTTTTGTTTATTGATTTTCTTGCATTGGAAAACGCTTGGGGGGAAAAAGAAAGACAAGGAGAGACATAGTGTAATACAAGGGTGTAACATAAGAGTAATCGAAGGAATGGAATTTCGGACATTACAAGACAACATGTAGTTTTTGGTCACTTATGGGCGCACGAGTATTCTTCTTGCCATTGCCAAACGACAAGCTCAATCATTTGAATCACCTACTTAACTACTGACTAATAATTTGATCAAAGAAAAAAAGAATTTACCAACAACAATATTTAATATTTGCATTTCTATGTGCCACTAAGAGCACTTCTACCCATTTGTCATGGCAAAGGGCAAGGGTAAGGCAATGGCTGTTACTATTCATGTGGATAGTGGCAGCCCTTGCAAAAGGCTTGTGGTGTTTCCACCTATTGCCATGGCAACCACTATTCACATGAGATATGAGGAGAGAAATTTGTATAGAGTTTTGTTGTGAGAAGTGAAGAATATGACTAAGTATTTATTTTCAAAAATTCTGAAATTTCTATTATTTTTTTAGATTTTCTTTCTTTCTTTTTTTTCGTTGCCAACGTCAGCAAACCCAAGCAGCAACCCAGACTTTTCTTGCCTTTGGGTTGGCCCGGTTTGCTAGGACCCATGTGCTGCCCGGGCTGTAGAAGCCGACTAGAACATCAAACTGGGGCTTGGGCCCCATGTTGCTCGGGCTAGGGGGGCACCGCTGGAAGTGCTCTAATAAGGAGGCCCGAGATTAAACAACCGTGGTTCATGACCACCTCTTTTCAGCTAAGTGAACTTGGGTGAAAAGGAGCGGACTCACTGTCTTACCAACTGGCCTAACCATGTATACTCACCAAACATAAATTTGAATAAAGCCATAAAACCAGAGTTTCTTTCAATTTTGTAGAGAATATTATACATTTGTTTATATGGTTTCTAACTCCAATTTCAAATTACCAACAACCATTGCAGCTGTCCATGAACATCAATTATTATAGTAAAGTAATTATTACGCAATGAACGGGGTTACTATGATATTTTTTGTTCCGACCGAACGCCTCTCCCAAAAGGTGCTACTTTAGCTCTCATTTAAATCTTAATTCTTTTTTCAATCAATAAAAAGGAATTCGAACTTGAAATCTCTTTCACTATTATAAAAAGAAAAATATTACTAAATTAATAACTAGTTGATGTCAATTGGCTATAACTCAGTTGGTTGAGCTTTTTCACCTCCACCCATGTGGGCAGAGGTTCAAAATCCTTAGACACCCAATAAATATTTGTGTGAAACCCCCTCCCCCAATCGCTTGTACTAAAAACAAACAAAAAACTAGTTGATAAGTCTTAAATCCTTTTTAGCATATGGCCAAATGTAAAACTCAAAAATATTGCATGATTTTTTGTTATGCTTACAAGAGGAAATGCATTTGTGCTTACATGGCATGGCATAACATTTGTGCCACCAGATTAATGAACAATTGATTGTGTACAACTAGCAAATCATAACATTCACAAGGATTGAAGTGATCTCGAAATTCTTGAACCCTATTTTGGGAGAAAAACTTTCCTGTTACAGGTATGCCACAGTCAGCAAACCACGTAAGTATCTCAAGTGGCTTATTATCACAAAACGTCCCCGACGTTTGCGAAACTATCACATTGCGTCCTTAAAGTATTTTTGTATCACTCATGGTCCCTAACGTTAATATAGGTGCTCTTAAATAGTCCCTCCGTCAAAAAAACTGTTAAATTCAGGAATATAATCGTCAAATCAATCCAAAATTATATAAAAAATATATATTTTTTATTTCCTTCCCTTCTCTCTTTCTTTTCTTCTTTCTTCTTTCTCTCCGCCCGTTCTTTTCTTCTCTTCTTCTCTCTCGCTGTTTCTCTTTTTTTCTTCTTTTTCTCCTTTTCTCTCTTTCCTCCTCTTTTCTTCTTCTTTTCCTTCGCATGGCTGTTTCTTTTTCTTCCTGTTTGCTTCTTTGTTCCTCATTTCTTCTCTCTCCAAAAGCTACTGTGATGTTTTCCCAAAGATAATGCTGCAAAAGTAAGCCCCACAACAAAAACGGCTCCTGCTACTCCAGCTCCCACAGTCCCTGTGAGCAAACTACTCCACAAGTGTCACTAGCCATACAAAGCATAAGAGGTAAAAAGAAAACGGCAATCTATTCAAACAAGCATTACCTCCAAACCATTTCCTCCTCTGTGAATCCAATGCATCTTCTCCATTATCGGAATCGGACCACCCCTTAAACCCATCAGCAGTCGAGTTTGACCCGACCCACGAACTACAATTATGATGGGGTTCCAATCCATTCCCAGGCCTCTCTCTGCCTTGAGCAACACAGAGCACTCGAGCCCGATTATCCAGCTTTCCCAGTTGCATCCGTACAAGAATGGGGAAGGTTTTAGTGCAATTTCCATAATTTAAAGCCAAACGAAGCTGGAGCGAGCTCGGAGACCATCTTGCAATCACAGTAGCTTTTGGAGAGAGAAGAAATGAGGAACAAAGAAGGAAAGAGGAAGAAAAAGAAACAGCCATGCGAAGGAAAAGAAGAAGAAAAGAGGAGGAAAGAGAGAAAAGGAGAAAAATAAGAAAAAAGAGAAACAGAGAGAGAGAAGAAGAGAAGAAAAGAAGGGGGGGGAGAAAGAAGAAGAAGAAAAGAAAGAGAGAAGGAAAGGAAATAAAAAATATATTTTATATATAATTTTAGATTGATTTGACAATTATATCCCTGGATTTAACAGTTTTTTTGACAGAGGGACTATTTAAGAGCACCTATATTAACGTTAGGGACCATGAGTGATACAAAAAACCTTTAAGGATGCAATGTGATAGTTTCGCAAACGTCAGGGACATTTTATGATAATAAGCCTAAAAAGGAATTCGAACTTGAAATCTCTTTCACTATTATAAAAAGAAAAATATTACTAAATTAATAACTAGTTGATGTCAATTGGCTATAACTCAGTTGGTTGAGCTTTTTCACCTCCACCCATGTGGGCAGAGGTTCAAAATCCTTAGACACCCAATAAATATTTGTGTGAAACCCCCTCCCCCAATCGCTTGTACTAAAAACAAACAAAAAACTAGTTGATAAGTCTTAAATCCTTTTTAGCATATGGCCAAATGTAAAACTCAAAAATATTGCATGATTTTTTGTTATGCTTACAAGAGGAAATGCATTTGTGCTTACATGGCATGGCATAACATTTGTGCCACCAGATTAATGAACAATTGATTGTGTACAACTAGCAAATCATAACATTCACAAGGATTGAAGTGATCTCGAAATTCTTGAACCCTATTTTGGGAGAAAAACTTTCCTGTTACAGGTATGCCACAGTCAGCAAACCACGTAAGTATCTCAAGTCAATAAAATGTTGACAGCTGGCAGCTAAATTTACTTTCTATTTTAAATATTAAAAAATGTTCTGCACCCATTTTCGCCTCTCTCTCTTCCGCATTCCTCTCTCTCATCCATTAATCTCTCTCTTTCTTCACTTTAGTCACTCCTCCATCATCATCCACACACCCCCTGCATTCCTATTTTTCTCTTCAATCAGTAATCCTTCATAACCCACAATTGGTATTGATCTCTCAGTTTTAATTGTAGTGAGGTATATTTATTGGAGAAATCTGGAAAATTTGTAAATGGTGGAGTTGAAAAATATTGGGTTGGCTTCGGTTTTGTGGGGGAACAATATACGTTTGGGGAAGAAAAACATTCTCCGGCGTCACTCTCTCTCCTCCAGATTTGAGGAATCTCTTTCCTCTTTTTTTCTTCAAATTTTATTATCTATTGGGCAGTTTTGGAAAATTTGGAAAGGTGAAGCTGAGAGAGCTTGGGTTCTGTCAGGGAACAGTTTTGGGGAGAAAAATGGCACCATGTATTGGTTTCTTCTCCAGATCTAAGGAATCTCTCCTGCCATTCCATTATCATAAAGTATTATCCTTTTTCACGTTTTCAGTTAAATATATTAAGCAAAAAAAAACAGAGAGAAATCAATATATGATGTGTGGGTGTTAAAGGAGTGACTGAAGAGGAAGTGAAACACCAGAAATAGAAGAACAAAGGTTTTTTTTACGGACTGCAAGAGGAATGGGGGAGAGAGAGAGAGAGAGAGAGAAGAGGAAGAACATGGGTGAAAATACTTTGTAAAATTTTAAATTGAAAAACAGATTGATTGTGTGGGCTGAGTGATTGAAGAGAAAAAGATGAGTGAATGATGGTGGAGGAGTCATTTAAGAGAGAGATGAATGGATGAGAGAGAGGAATGCGGAAGAGAGGCGAAAATGGGTGCAGAACATTTTTTAATATTTAAAATTGAAAGTAAATTTAGCTGCCAGCTGTCGACATTTTATTGGCTTGGGATACTTACGTGGTTTGCTGACTGTGGCATACCTGTGACAGGAAAGTTTTTCTCCTATTTTGGATGACCAGAGTGTATGAGCAACATAATGACAGGCAGCAATGGAGAGTCCACGTAAAAATTTCTTACGGTTTCACATATTCTGCAAATACATGATATCAAGTGTACAACTAAAATCATAACTTAGAGGGTTATGTTTAATTATATTGTCCAGGCTCAATTCACCTATTCACAATCCTGTTTTTTTCTATGGACAAGCAAGCATTCATGTGGTTCAGGCAATCCATCTACCTGCAAAAGAGAAAATGTAATGACCATGCTAAAACAACAGTAGCAATAATAACAAGGGATTTTACCTAAAACTTAGCATCCAGTGAAATGATAGTTTGACATGTATGTCGCAGCACCACAGGCCATGGAAAACCTTTCTGGCTACCATCCCCTAAAGCAAGGCTTATGAACTTCAAAATTGTTACGTGCATGTCATAGCAATTCCACCGTGTCTTTCCTAGAAGACTTGAACCCTGTCAACTGAGAATCGGCTGCTCATGTTTCCTGGAGCACCCAAACAACAACTTTAGACGTCATCCCCTTGTATCTGTATGAGTTATTTATAATAATTTTTATTCGTTTATCAGAATAAAAAAGTAAATGCATTTGAAGAATTGATACCTTGTCTTGAACTGTCTTTTGTTGTGAATTTCATGAATCCTTGGAAGATGGAGAGAACTGTGTTCTTCCCATATGAGACTTGCATATTCTGGATGATCAACAAAAGGATTTCTATTGTGCTGATAAAACTTGCAGACTCTTTCATTTCTCAACTTCTCTTCTCTTGAAGGTGGATCAATCTCATTCCACTTTAACAATGTAGAAAGCAGTCCCATCTCACTAATTGCTGCTACCACGTGCACCCAAAAAGTTCAAGCAATCAAGATCTATGCTCAAAGCAGCAAGGCAGTCTTAATTCTCGACTAATAAGAGAATATATGGATGCAAGAATGAACTCAAAAAATCCAACTATAAACCGCATTCCTGCCCCAACATTGATCTGTAATCTTAGCCACTTAATTATCATATAAAATGGCTCAACCTTTCAAGTCAGGTATATATGGTCTACGAAGATGCAACAGTGAAACCGCAATAATGTTGGAGGCATGGTAACAATAGTTGCATGATAAAGACAAGACCTTAGTAGGAACTTAGAGGGCTGTAGCTGGAGTGGAAATGGGCATTAAGAATTTGTTCATCGTGGGCACAGTACAGCAGCAAACCAGGTGACTTGTGAGTCGTGACAGTGGCAGCAGATTTCCTAATAAAGTATTTGACTGCAGTGGTGGCAGCGGTAAGTGAGGTACCAAGTGGAGGAGCCTATTGATGGCTTAAAAGGTAGAAATGAAAGCAGGGGCAAAGAGGATTTTGAAGTGGACTTGCTAGGTAGCAAGGAGTTTGTGAAATAGCGGTGGTTTATTTCTTTGGGCATGGGATGCGATATGACAGATAGGCTTAAATCTCAATTTTCACAGACTTTAAAATTTTCTTGAATTAGAAAGAAGACCAAACAAAACACTAAATTGAACTCTAATGAAGTTCATGGATTTTAAATCCATGCCTCCAACTTTTTGCCAAAAGTGCTGCTGGCCACAAGAAGCTACGAATCACCATATTGATATAAAATGAGATTCTAACAAGTGATTCAAATCAATTGGACTTGACTAGGCTCATAATACAGCACATCTTGGGGGACGGGTGAAAGCTACGATTGGGGTAGCCACAACAAGTATAACATAGACTTGGAGGCTGGTTTTTTGGTGATAAGCACATAGAGGCTTCTTTACACAACTAGGAAACTGGCAGCACTTCTTCTAATGGATGTTGACAAAGTCTGAAAATCAGGATGATTTTAAAGAAGGAATTTTTTGTTCAACAATCGGTTACAGCATGTCTACCTTTCCCAGTCGTCTCTAATGCAGACTCAAGATCAACAGTTACAGCAGGAAGAGAATCACACTCAAACTACTCAAAGGTACTTTTTTCCCTTAAACTTACAACTTTTTGGAGAATCTGAAAGGTGAAGAGCTGGGCCTCCATCTGGTTGACGAAACCCGTAACATACTGCCATGTACATCAGCGCCCTTGCAATATCTCCTCTATGCTGAAGTGGCATGAAACACAAATTCAGTTTAGTGATAATGCATATGAAACTGACTGCAAAGAGATTTAAACTAAACAGTAACTTTCTTGCCCAAACATAGTGACAACAATCAGAAATCCAAAAAGAACGTGATAAAGGGTAGCAGATGGACATTAAAAGAATTGATGTGCCAAAATATAGTAAAAAAACCTGTTTAGGTGGTGCCCATCTGTCCTTGTCAGTTTCCGTGTCCAAAGCAGCTTCTTTGTTTGCTGGCTTCAAACACTTAGTTGAGTTAACATTGCATTCTCCGTAGTATTTGTTCCCCCTGGATGAATTGACTGCAAGAAACTTCAACTATTTTACATCAAAGTATAAGAGATCTACTTTTCACATACGTAGAGGCAGTAACCCATCTACCATTCACATCTGCTGGGCGAATGTTGTGTAAATCAGTCAAGGATGGACCATCTTTTAACCCATAAGAACGAGGCCATAGATGCTCCCCTAGAAAACAGCAGCATTACATTAAATTCTCTCAAAAAGAAAAAAGGTAAACTAGAGCTTGGAGATTTTTATATCTAGCAGAGTAAAAATAAGCAGCCACAACTATAATAAAGTACAAACCACAGAAAACAAAAGCAAATTCAAAGAAGGCTGACAACAACAACAAAACTGCAAAACGAACAACACTTCATTTCAGTTGAACATGTTAGTAACCAAAAAATGAAACCAGTATCTAAACTCAGATTTTAAGCCAAAATTGTGTCAATTAACACTTAAATTAGTTGGATTAAGCAATCTAGGATATTTCCTCCTTACATATTGAAATTTATATAGCCTTCACTAATGTTCTCTATTTGAAGTTTCGCCATTTCAAAAACAATAAATATCTTAAGTTTTAAATTATATTTGTCATGGAAACATGAAGATTATGGGGTAGTAAACTATACAAGGTGGAGATGTAGCAAATTTATTAGCTGAAGCACTAATCATTAGAAGAATAGGCACAAGTGTGGAAAAATCAAAATACATAAGTGAAAGAAACCAACATCAAAATCGTACAAGCTGCAGTGAATCTGAGCAGTTGACTCACTATTCCATCCTTCAGGCTTTCCAGCTAACGACTTGGGTACAACCCTCAAGGAGTAAATTTCAACTCTGCATAAAAACATTTGTCGGCAAATTGGTAAAGAGTTACAGGTAACTGCAATAATACAAATAGAACTACCAAAAGCAGTATTCAGCTTTGATAAGCACATACATTCCTGACGAAGCTTTGGGGTTGTCAACATCCGAAGCATCAAGAAGCTTGAGGGCATTCCACACCTATTTCCATAAACCATTAAGTCAGGCTTCTTGAAAGAAGCACCAAACCAGACTGAAAATTTAAGACACATATTAGTTGTACTATTAGTAGCAACAGAACAGTTACAGTAGTGAATGCTAAATACCTCTCTGTAGGATAAAGATTGGTGCCTGGCTATGATGGAATTCAGTATTTTCTTGAGTGATTTACCCTCTAAATGATCCGCATTGGCATAGTAATTGTTAACATCTTCACAAGCATACACAAAAGAAGGAGATGGATAGTCAATTGCCTCAGCATCAGCGACAAGATTTAGACAGAACAAGTAAAAAGAGATGACCTGAGAAACCCATCTCCATGAAACATTGATATATTCTGTGCAATTCCTTATGCCCCTAGAAAGAATGCATTAATCAGCCATTGCCCACTATCATTTTCACTTCGAGGGTCAACAAGTACGGGTAATTGAACTGGAATATTAGCAGCCCAGTATTGAAATATGGAAAAAGGTGAGGTCTTGAAGGTTACTGACCTTGGAAAAATGGTGGAAGACCATGGAGAGACCAAATGGTTCTCTGGGTTTCGGTTATGGCAAGCTAAGTTGAATCTTTGTATTCGTAAAGTAAAGGAACGTGTGAATTTGAAGTGGAAGATGGTGGTTCTCTTCTTGCAGTGGCCAGTGCGGTAAATTGCAGATTTTGTGCAATGGAATTTGGTGGCCACGACGGGAGACTGCATTCTCCGAGTGTAGAGATACCCCAACTTAACTTCTGGTTTGAAGTTAAGCCAACTGGCGGATTTTCCTTTTTAACACCTTTTCAATTTCTCGCTTCTTTTGAGATAAAATCTTTTCTTTTTCTTTTTTCTTTTTTGAGTGAAGGCCCTTGCAACACTAGTACAATTTCTAAACCATGTATAAGATTTCTCAATTTTTATTAAACATTTTTTCCTCTCAGGGACGTTTGGTTCGTGGGAAATGGAGCTTTGAAATGGGAATTAATTTCCCATATTTGGTAAGTTTGGTTAATGGAGCTTTGAAATGGGAATTGATTTCCCATATTTAATAAGCGTAGTAGTTCTTGTTGTGTAGGATCTTCTTGATGATTTTCGCTCTATATTCAGCCATAAAGTCGTTGTTGACACTTGTTTGAATGACCTCTCCTTTTGCAATATGTTCCATGTAGAACATAACAAACATGTCACAATTCAACTCGCAAATAAATATGTGATTAGTTTTTGAATTATTGGAAATTTTATTGAATAGGTGAGTACAAACAATATTTCTGAATCTTCTATTTGTTGGGCACAATCTGTGACGTCTTCAAATAGATACTGACAACCGATGTGCAGTATCCAAGAGAGAGTTTGTTCTTCATTTGGAGATATAAGTCTTTTTGTTGCAGTATCAAGATTTTGTTTTGCCTCACAAGTTCTGGTTTTTCCCCGCTTTCGAGCAAAGCTTGTGCTTTTGTTTACGAGGCTCTAAAATACATGAAATAAAAATACAATGCAAGCAAGCTACAGCTGTGTTTTGCGTGAGGCTCAATGGTTTCAGGACTTTAAGCAGCTCTATACATTTGTGGACTTGGTTGCAATGCTTTGGCTAGACTTGGGCTTTAGAGCCCATTCTGGTTCCATTGAGGATGGATTTTTTACGTGGGTTTCACGTTGCTTCAACCAGCTCCATACATATGTGGATTTTGTTGCAATGATCCAGCCAGGCTTGGCCTTTTGGGCCCAATTTGGTTCCGACACTTTACATCCCTAAGGTAGTTCAACCCCAATTAGAGCCCCATTGTGCTTGCCAAAACTAAGTATTTATAAATTCGAAATCAAATCCTCCACAAAGTGATATACTGACAAGGGTTGTCTGCTCAGCAAACATGAGAAGTTGACAATTGTGTCTAGCCTAATGAAAAATGCTTACTTACATGCCGGTGGTCTCAGCTGATATTCGAATCCATATGACACCATGATAGTGTGTATGTGTGTTAGAGAGAAAACCATTCCCCCTTCCCCGAAAAAAGCAAACATGGGAAGTTTTGAATAATTGGATATCTTAATCTATTCTAAAAGAATAATAACATGAGTATTCCAATATACAATGGTAGAACAAAACAGAGCACAAGCAGCCAAAGAGAATAGAAGAAATCTAAGTTAGGCTAATTGCCTAATAAAAGAAAACTATACATACTCATTGGATTTCTTCACCTAATAACTTAAAGATTCAAAGGAGATCTTCAAGTTCTTTTTGGTGAAAGGGGGCAGATCCCAACCCACCAAAAAAATCAAGAACGAGTCATCGAGGCTTACACAGAAACAGCAAAGGGAGCCATCAAATCAAAAGCATCTAAACTTGCCATTGATTTCAGCTTGTTGGAATTTTTCCCAAAACAAGAAAGTTTTCTTTTTTCTTTGCATTATATAATGATTCATGCCATAGTATAGGACAATTTGCTATGACCAAAACTGATATCATATCTTTGAAAATGAATATAAAGAATGGGGCAGCCAAGGTTCATTCAGAATTGGTGGACCAAAATTCATGGTGCAATCATTTAGCATAAGATTCGAACCTTTGTTGTGGATGGTAAAAATTGAAGTCATGATTTCCATCACTTTGATTACACGTACTTCAAATCCATTATAACTTCATGCCACCCCTGTGAGCACTACTAGCTATCAGCATAATATGCTCTGCATTTTATGACAAAGAGTTCTGCTCCCTTGCTGCCCCATTGTTTTTCTATTAGCTGTTGAGTTATATAATTTGATCAGGAAATTGAATTATTAGACTCTTTCCATATATGTTCCCGTTATAGATTCATATTCATTAGATGAAACGTCAATACAAATAAAATATTGGAGTAAACTAAAATTATTCAACCAAGGAAACAGCGCTTGCCATTTTTGAAAATGAAGAAGTTAAGTGGAGCAGACTCAAATTCTGGTATTAATGTTTGCAATGTTCAAAGGATTTTACATTCCTTTCAAGGCATCTCCTTCAAGCACATCTTCCATGAAGCAAATTTTGTGGAAGACTATCTTGTGGAGCTTGGGCATTCTACCCAGCTCGCCATGTTTGGTTATAGAACTTTCCTTCGATGGTGGTTAGCCATTTTCTTGCAAATCTTTAGATGTTGATTGGCCTAGGTGCTTTGTGTTAACACAACGTTGTAATTTCTTTAGATTCTTTAGAACGTTGTAATTTATGTTTTGCTTATAATAAAAAAAAGAACAAGAAGACTAGCTGCCTTGTGGAAACACCAACAAACAAGTTTGAATTAAATTTGCATATGAGTAACCAATTTGAACTTGAATTTCCATCCGAATACATGGCTACAGAATGTAATTAACTAACCTCATGACGAAACTGAAAACTTACTAAAAATGTAAAAGATACTCATGAAAGAAAACATGGGGTGAGTAGCAAGATATACAAACCCAACAGAAAGAAAACTAATATGTAATCAGGTTATGAGGAATTGAATTGAAGAAGAGTTGGATAGAGGAGAATTGGAATCCGTATTCCCATTAAAATTGTTTATTAAACTATGTGGAATCGGGGTAGGAATTGAAACTAATTTGATTACTAAAATGCACTTATTCTAAATAAATTATGAGTGCTGCTAAACAAACCCTAAAATTAACTGAGTACACCCTATAATCTAAGTATACCCTATTATTTAAATCAAAATGTAAAATTAACTTGTTAATGTATGAATTTTGAGTATTTCTTTTGGCTTCCCTTGACAATTTTGTAATAGGATTTTTATTGTTTTTATCAAGCTCAAGTTTAGATTAAGAATAGCTTATCTAGCTGTTTTTAACTATCAACTATCCTATGGAGGTTCAAGCAAATTGACAAAGGTAAATTTTGCATAGCATTTTCCAACTTCTGAAGATTATGACTAGTCAACCTCTGCCTCAGTAGGAATTCTAGCTCACTGTTCCAGCTGGATCCTACCCAAAGGTTTTTGTCCTATTCTTCAAAATTCCCAGCTGTCATTGTACGATTCTAACCTAGGGAATTTTTGTGTGTAAAAGCCAAACAATTCTTCATTTGGTGGCCGTCACTTTTGTAGGAAAGTTTTGGAAAGTTTCTTTGGAAACTTTTGCTTCTTCCTCAAGAGCCATCTTCATATTTTTCATCTTTGAGTTTTCCAAATTGTTTCTTTTTGAAAACTGCATTTGAAAAATGAAAATCTACATCTAGCTAATTAAAACACTCTCTCATTTATATCCAGGTCAGATTCAAGATTGATTTCTTCAAGAGTATGGTTTCTTGAAGAAATTGGTCATTCTCCTTTGAATCCAAATTTTGGTTTCGGTTTGAGTTGGAGCTTGCAAGCTAGTGCCATGGGATGAACGAGCTGAAGAAGGAGCTGACATTGCCATGAAGAACTAAGCTTCAAGCTTTGCTAAGTTGGAGAAGAAGATTGCACAAAGGAGGTATAGCTCATCTTCCTAAATAGATCTAGGTTTTGCTTGAGCTTGCTTGTATTCCTTTGTAAGAATCTTTTTCTACTTAGTGGATTGCCTGGTCGGTTGATGACCTCCAGTTTTTCCCAATGGTGGGTTTCTGGGTGAACAAAATCTGGTTTGCATATCTGTAATTTTTCTGCGTTTGTGTTCTTAGTGGTTGACTAGTCATCATTATCTGCTATTTGGTATTTACTTGATTATAATGTTTTCACACACTTCCACCATAGTTGTTGCTAGCACAGGGGATGCCTAGATTGATGGGTCCTTCTGAGTGCCTAGGTTGTCACTAGTATTTTTCTAGGGTTGCAGGTACATTGTGGCATGCTCTGTGTGGATTCTTGATTGTGGTTGTTCATGACTAGCAGTTGACTAGTCATAAGTGTTTTGGTCAAGGACTAAAGTGTGTGAAGCTTGTTGTGGTTGTGTTTGTGTAATTTAATTTACCCCTCGTCACCTAAGTGCCAATTTCAACTAAGTACACCATCTTTAACTACCAAAATACCCCTAGTACACCCTAATACACTCTATCATAGAACACCCTAATACCAATCCTAAACTTAGTTTCTCTTTTTACATGAATATGAACCCTCTTTTTAGATTTTGAGTTTGCATCAAAATCTTTAATTTTGTAAGCTATTGTGAAAATATTGCCGGAGACATGGTGTGATTTATCAAACTTGCAAACCTTGTTGATCAGCGATTGCATGCAAATTAGAAAACTAGTGAACCTAAGACAACTTCACCTTGATTATTGTTTTAATCTAGAAAGTTTGCCAAGGGGAATTGCGAAGCTGACTTCTCTTAACACTCGATATGTTCGTTGTATTCATGTGATGATGAGGACGAAGCATTTAAGCTGGGAGATTTGAAAATTTTGAACCTCGAAGGGTATCTTCATATTTGTAGGTGTGGAAACTAAAAATTGTTAATGTGGCTGAGAAAGCAGAACTCATTAATAGAGGGAACCTTGTTGATTTGAATCTAGATTTTGATTGGAGTGAAGAGAGGACACTTGAAAATAAAATTATACTTGAAGCTTTACAACCACATCCAAATTTGGAATCTTTAGAGATTCGAAAATATCGAGGCACAACCATATCTCCAAAACAAACATTCAACGACACCTTCTTGCGCCTCTGTCATTGCTTTGCGTTGTTCGCCGTGAGCACTAAGCAATACAAAAACTTCTTATTATGGTTGAATATGGTGAGTAATGTGTTATTAAAATTATATAATTATATTTGTTTCACAATTCAATATATTCTTTTTGGTCATTTTATATTAGGGTGAATTAGTAATTCAATAAATAGTTTGATAGTAGGGTGTACTCAGTTAATTTGAGGGTTCATTTAGCAACACTTTAAATTATTGGGTTAAAGGCGATGGCAAATTTAGAATTTTAAAATTTGTGTGAGGATATAATGGGTAAAAAAGATGATTTCCTGATGGATTAGTTCTCTAGGAAATAGAATACCACCTCCCACCCAAGAGTCTAATTCCTCCAAAATCAAGAGTTGAATTCATGATTTTGTGTGGCCCCACTTGCTTTTTCATTCCTTTTATCTGAAGTAAACACAAGAGTAATTCGTAATCGGAATTTAACTCCTTATTTTGATTCCTACTACGAATCAATAAACATGGGGATTCAAGATTTAGAAATTTAGAAATGTGTACGAAAATGCATTATCATGTTTGGCAACTATATTGTTGGGAATGCAATACATTGAACATGGGATGGCAAAATGTCATACCCTCGACTTTTGTTCAGAATTTGTATCCTCGGAAAATTATTTAATGCACTTTTCTTAGACCAACTTATCCAAATACTACATAAAACCAAATACGAGAATAATATAAAATATTGTTTCTTGGTCCGATTTCTCGGTGGTCTGATTTCTCAGTGCTCCCTCCCATAGACGGGAATGAGAATTTTTCATTCTCATCTCCTGATATTAGACATGAACTTCATTCCGCGAAACAAATAAGCCATTTAGGGGCTGGTTTAGTGGTTTTGTTTAACCAAATTTTACAATTAATTGCTATTCTGTACGAAGAAAAAAAAAGAAAAAAAAATCAGCAAATATGAGAAATCTGAATAATTGAATATCTAAATCTAAATTCTGAAACAATAACATATACAAATGCCGGAGAACCAAACAAGGTGGCTACCAAGAAAAATAGAAGAAATAAGCGATTTCCGCATCAAAAAATATCCACGTGCCATTTCGGTATCCGTGGTTGTCTGGAATATCTATCCTTCTCCTCGTGTGTCTAGCCTAACTCTAACATCCACATGCCTTCCAGTGTTCCCCTTCCTTTCCCGTTTAAGAACACACTAATAAATGTCTTTTTTTCCCATGAAAATTATATTCTCAGCCACAAAAATAAAAAATATTTTGGAAGGTAGTGAACTGGCTTTTTCTTCTTCTCCTATATAAGTTCTGGCGTCTTCCGTATAAAAAGGGTACTAAAAGCTAACAGACGGGCGGTGGAGTGGTGGTGGTTGTACGCTCTGTCCGTATACCCGGTCGTGAGAGAGAAGAAACCCACGTTAGCCACCTGGCCACAAGCTTGAGCTGTCGCTGTTGTTGCTGCTGTTGGTGGTGGCTCAGACTCTCATTACTCCTCGCTCTGTTCGAAAATCTGCTCAGCCCAGTGATTTCCGACACGCTTCTCGAATTTATTACGCTACTGCCACCACCACAGCTCCACGATCTTCTGCTCTCTACGATCCCTGCTGGCCTTGCTGGCCCCGCGGGCCCCGCTGGCACTGCGATCACCTGCTGAGCATTATTATTCTCATTCTGCTGAGGCGGCTGACGTGGCAACCCCTCGCTCATAATCATCTCCGACCGTAGATACAGAAGATCCGACGGCTGTACGTCGCTCCATCTTTGGTGGAGCCCGCCAGGGCCACAAGGCAACCCGGGGGAGATAATAATCCGGTGTTCCAACCTCGTCCTGTCCTGGCCCAACAGCAGCCCGTCTTTTCTCGGGCGGTCAAGGCATCCCCCGACGGTCGACGGTTCGCTCTTCTTTCTAAACGCCGTCCAGCTGTCCAGAGACCTCCGAAATGACCACGTCAGAATCGGGTTACCCGGTCTTTGCTCTCCGGCGAACGAGTGGCGCCCCGAAATCCGGCGATAACCCGGGTCATTCTCGATATCCAAAACGACGTCGCTGCTTTGCTGGCTGTGCAAGATCTTAGAGGCGTCGTCCACTAAGAGCACGTCCTCCGGGTCGACCCGGTAGCGGCAAAGCGGGCAGGTGGAGTGGGCGTCGAGCCACGTGTCGACGCACTCGACGTGGAAGGCGTGCTTGCACTTGGGGAGGAGACGGAGGACCTCGGCCCGGTCGAACCGGGTCAGGCAGACGGCGCACTCGAGCCCCTCCTTCTGACCTCGGAGCGACCCGAACCGGAAAACGGGTAAGGACTCGACGACGGAGCGGTCAATACCCGAGTTTTTGCGCTGGGTGGATCCGGAGGGTCCGGAATTGGAGTTTCTGGTGACGACGACGAGAGCACCGCGTTTGCAGTGCTTGGCGTAGAGGAGGAGGAGAAATGTGATGGAGAACAATGTGGTGAGGACGCCGACGATTATGGCGATGCTCGGCCGGAAGGAGGAGGCCTTGGCGGGGCCCGCGTTGGGTGGGGAAGGTGATGGGTTTGATGATGTGGTGGCAATGTTGCCGAAGTCTGGGGTGGAGATATGGCGGTTGGTGTCTGCGAGAGTGGGTGCAGTGAGAAAAGAGAGGAAGGTGAGGAGAAGAAAGAGGAGGAGGAAGAAGAAGGGGGTTGTGGAGGAGGTGGTGGGTTTGAGAAAGAGAAAAACAAGGCCCATGTTTTTGTCTGACGCAGTAGCAGGAGGTTGAAGAAGAAAGGGGTTTGGAGGGGTGTGAGGGTGAGAGAGTTTGTAGTTTTTGAGGCGCAAAATGGGGGGCTTCTTTTTTCTTGAGATTCTTGTCCAAAGATAACAACAAAATTAACTGGACAAAGGCATCTATCTTTCTATATCTCTATCAATTATATAACTCTTAATTATACGTTCATTTGCTACCCTCATTATAAATGAAGCTTATAATTGTAACTCGACATATCAAGAAGTAAATGCTCTTAATTTAATATCAGAGTTACAAACCTGTTTTTGTATTTTATATCTAAGTATGTTTATCTAATGATGTGACAATGTTTAGTTATTCAAATCTGCAATACTCATTAGTATACTTACACTTTATTTAGTGAATAAATACGGTGATTTTGGCATCGTAAGAGGTATTTGATAGACTACGTGATATGATAATGTTGTGTATATTTGATTCATCCAAATTACAAACACAAACATTGAATGATTTATTTTCAACAATTATCGTTTATAAGATTTGAACTCATGAGATTCTTTATCGAGTAAAGTAAAGGCTGAATGTCATAAGTATTGGCCACTTTACTAAATCTTGATTCTCACCAACGAAAGTCTAGATTGCATTGTTGCATTACGATCACATTACTATTGCATTATTGATTCTTCATTTGATGGACAAAGACGTTTCAGAAATAAAAAAACAAAGACAATAACGGAACAACATGAGCACTGAGGGCAGCAAAGAAACACTCGTTGTGATGTGGAAGATTTACATCCCATCTCCCAATCCCTACTAGATAGATAGGCAAGGAAGATCCATAGGTAGGCTGTGTTTGTCAAATGCAGTATATACCGAATGAATCCAATCAATCAGGTATTTGTGCGTCACAAATTTGGGGAAAATAAAAATAAAAAACACAAAATAAAATATAAAATAAAAACCATGGTTTTGTAACTGAACACGCGATGCATGTTTGTTTGGGACCGAACGCAACAACGAACAGCCCACTAGGTTGGGCCCCCCTCTTTTGGTTGATTCTGGACTGGAATGGATTGAATTGGACTGGCGTGTGTATCTTCGTCTTGCGCTTTATCAGCTGCTATGGATTGGATTGGATTGGATTTTGTGAGAGTTTTTTAGTTGCAGATCAATCCAATTCCAAACCACCATTTTATCAGCTGTTCTGTTCTCTTCTGTTCTTTTCTGGGATAGGAATGGGATTGGGATTGTGCCTTTTGGAACGTTGCTCTACTGAAATCTGTTTTAGCTGAGCTCATCTACCAACCATGCTAGTAACTACAGGCCTGCACAACCTTGTTTCAAGTTCCAACATACCCAAAAGGAAAGAAAATAATACAACATTTATGATAATTTAATGTTACTCAAGTTATAAGAAAATTCCATCAAGGATGGCGTGGGAAATTCATTAAAGACGTATGCTACGGTTAGTCGCCTACGTAGGTTCGAGAAGTAGAATCCACAATACATTAACGGTCAAATTTTACTTGAATGCATGGGCAGAGTCATGAATTATTGACACGATGAGCACCTTGGCCAATTCAAGCTATTTTTTTTCTTTGGGTTAGTTTAAACTTGTTACAAAACTCTAAATTTTGGCATCTCTTCTCTATGCATTATCTTATTAATTTAATAATGACTCACACTAACCAAATAAGGTACAGAGAAAGATATGGGAAGAGGAAAGCTGAGAGAGTTCTTGTTCATAATAAAAAGAGAAAAGAAAATAAAGCGGGAAATGAGATTCAAATAATGAACTTTGTAAAGTGTTGCAGTCTACCACCTATGTTTAACTCTATTAAAGTTTCTATTAAATTAAAGGGTGTTTCCGTCAATTCATTGTAACTAAAAAGAATTATAAAAAAAGAAAATTTTAAAAAGAAAAAAGAAATGTCAATCACCAACTAAGGAGTTCGATTACTTCTGAAATTAAACTGGAAGAAAGATGAGATTTTGGTGGGTAACACACAAAAAGATTTAGGCCTTAGTTTTCACATCATTTTCATAGCTCTTGGAAGATTCGGAAAAAGTAGACCTATGATTTTCATAGATCTTGGAAAAAAAGACACAAAGGCAAATTCTTCATATGGTTTTCATGGATCTTGGAAAAAATACCAACACCAATCCTTCCCCCTCTCCTCCCCCTCTTCTCCTCCCCTCCCCTAAACGCTTTGCATACACCCTCCCTCTCCTCCCCTCCCCTTCCCTAAACGCTTTGGATACACCTTACTATGATTTGTCTCTTGGCATCTCTTGGTGTGGAGTGTTGAAATTGAAGGGAAAACTCACTGAATGCACTATTACCAAGTTCCGCAATTCCTTTCTATGGAATATAGTTATATCCAGCACACCAAAGTAGTGAAATTGAGACACAAGTAAGGACCAATTATGAGGGTTGTGGAGTTTGATACGACCAAGAACCAATTCTTAGCTGGTGATGCATTACAAATTAAATTATGGAAAATTAGGTTAACTTTTTTTTTCTTTTTAATTATAGTGACTAATGAAAATGCCTTTACATTTATGTAATACCCCGAAAAATTCAAGGTGGATTTTCATATTTTAGTGAAAAATAATATAATTGTGGAGATTGATTATGGGTATTTTATCAAGTGATTTTGGATTGAGATTATTAAATTAAGTGGAGTTTAATTTCAAGTTGGACAAACATGACCAAAATACCCCTATGTGTGGATAATTACCAAAATACCCTTGTAGAAAGAAAGTAGGAGGCAACGTGTAAGCCAAGCATTTCTTCCCTCCTTCAGTCTTCCCCCCTTCCCACTTACAGTCTCTTCAAAAATCTGATTTTGGGATGAGTTGTAAACCTATGGTGGATGAGTCACCTAGTCTAAAAATGGTGACTCACCTAGCCTAAGAGTCTTTCTTATTCTCTTCCTCCCCATTCATTGAATCATCACTCTTTCTTAACTTGATGACTCACCTAGCCTAAGGCTTTTCAATCATAAATTCACTCTTATCCTCATCATTCATTGTATCATCCTTTCTTCCTCATTCACCTTAGTTTCATCCTTATTCTTCTATTGTTCCTCTTCACAATCCAAAATTCGTCACTTCCTTGGAGCAGCTGAGAACTCAAATTTCAGAAGCTCAAATGAGAAACCTTTCTTCATAAAAGTTGTTCATTTACGTGATTCCTATAACATACTCAAATTTCAGCTCAATCCGACTAGTTTAGGCTCTGAAACGTTGGTATGATCACAATAAGATTACCATTTCCTGATTTCACAGCAGTATGCTCGGTTTC